GCAAACGTTTCGTCACCATTCGAGGAGACATCTTCAGGGCGCTGGAAGTAATATGTCTGTGACATGAGTTGTGAAATTTGGCAATACCATCCAGTCTAACCGAAGGTCGTTCTCGGTCATGACCTTGAAAATATCAAGCAAACGAGAAAGACTATCATATTGTGGACGGTCGAGCGGGAATTTTATCGTGAGAGAAACTGAGCAGAGGAGTTTTGGAGGACCATTACCGTGGTAATGGTCGTAAACAGGAAGAGCTTGTAAGTTCACTGGTCATTGAAGGGATGTACAGATAGGCTCACTAGATTTGGTCAACTAATGAAAGTCATAAAGAAATGAAATGAAATAAAAGCTAATCCGACTTATGGACCAGGAAGTTGTGGGACGCAAAGAATTGTTGAATAGTAAGGCTGATCGAAATCAAGCGAGAACTTACCACTGGTTATCTCGTTTGGATTTTAGTCAATTTTTTTCTTAATTGAACCACAATCTGTGCATGTATTTTACCATCAATTATATTGCGATGTTACATTATATTCTATTTTATAATCATATTCCGTCCGATGAATCAACACGAACGGCAAAATCCAACGCCCTTTTGTCTAGGTGCCACTTAATAAACTCTCACAGGGAACTAATTGGCTCATGAAGATAGTGTTTAATCTGTGTTTTCCTGACTGAACCAATGGATTCAAACCAATGGAGTCTAACCAATGGAGTCAAGTACCTGCCATGTATGAAAAAAAACAGTGCATGAGGCGAATCCACAGAATCTGTCATCTTGTTTCTGGAACCAAAGTTTGCTTAGCAATACTCTCTAGTATTATTCCCCATGGTGTGTCGACGATCTTGAAGCTTCCCAAGTTCCCAAATTGAGGATGCCAGCTGGTCTGAAAAATTGGGAATATAAATCAAGACAAAACTTCTTGAACGAAGTACTAATTTGTCTATTTAATTATTAGTTTTGTTGGTTCCAAGTCCCTTTGAATCTGTCTGCATCAAGAATGTTCATAGAGCAAAAATACAGAAGGTTTTCGAAGGCTTCCTTGCTTACTTTTCTCAAACTTGTGAGTTCTCGTACTTGAAACTGAATGCAAGTGGTTGTTGTGCCCATTACATATTAAAACTGCACACAATTGTCCTAACTCGCATTCATCGAATTTGGCGGTACAGGTTAAAACAGGTTTAACTGAGTGACCAAGCACACATGACTACTGATCGGGTGGCAGCCACAAAGAAACGGGGTATTCTGAATCTCCAAGAAGATTTCAGGAGGTTCGCTTAGTGAAGCTACTGTTTTTCTATTGACTCATTGCAAACCTTGTCGACACACCATGATTACTAAAGTTTTCTTTGCTGCGGTGTATATAACACGATGCAGTAAGGTCAGTGAACAGTAACCGCCTAATTGATTCCTCAGTTGCTGAAACATTGTTTCTGTTGACCTTGTTAAAGGAAAGATTGCACGACAAGGTTGCTATCCTTCTTGATGTTGCAAGTTTGTTGTTGTCGATCTTATAATTCAGACAGTGAGACCTCACCTAGGGTACTTCAGCAGTACCTAAACATGATGTCCAAACACAGTAGACCTGCTTGTGTAATATCTTCATAGAGTCCAACAAACAGTCGTGTATACAGCGTAGATTTTTACCGAGGTGTAGCGAGCACTTGTCAGTGACTTCATAAAGTGCGTTTTCATTGTTACTTGCTTCTTCAACCTATACGTGGTACAGGTTGCGTATTTTTAGCCTTTTTACTTAATCATTGTTGCCGCTAGTTTGCAAAGGAGATTCAGACTCTGCGAAAACCTGCGAAATTTACACACCCAATCACATCTCTGTGACAAGCTGACAGGCACAAATCCTACTGGTAGTAATATAGCATAGGAGTTTTTAGTTTCCGTGATGGCTTGATCATTTTGAACGAAATAGGTCATTATAGTTTAACGACGCTTCATGACACTCCTATTCGATGAAATGCTTTATTGACTCGGGGGCGGCAGATTTAGAGGCTTCCACTGATCACCTAGGTCTTTAGACTTCAGTTTAAACTGGTGATCATATACCCTCGGTAATAAATCTCCAAAAGCGGTCGGTTAGAACAGTGTGGAAATGGCCCTGTAAACCTCCAACCTTTTAAAGTTCGGTCGTTCCCGTCAGCATTCTGCACCCTGGCCGCCACTGAGACTTCGGCCAGTTGCAATGGACATAGAACTGTCATCTGCCTGTATGATGAACGGATTTTAGGAATACCATCTCCTTTTGAATAGTTTTTAACCCACATTATTTCAAACTCGCTTGAACTTAACAGACCACCTTGTTCTTGAGAGTCAGACAGAGGTCGTCAGCAAGGCTGTTATACTGGATCAAGAAACATGTGAGTTTGCTCTCACTTGCTACTCAAGACATTCAGAAAGTATGTGCACTGCCAATCCAGCCACATATATATTTACGCTGACTTGCCTGCTTCTTCGTCATCCTTGTCATTAACAACAGCACTCTGAAAGAATACTGGTGCTTCACTGCCGTAAAATCATGCTAACTTGTCTTCGATTCAATTCGTCAGCTATAAACCATGTGCCATAGGCACCTTGGTTCCAGCTGCTACAATTTCGATCACCGGAAAACGGAAAAGTGGAATATACAACCAAGTCGTACAAAGGAAGAAGAAAATGGAACAGCACGGGGGACCAGAGCTCGCCTGCCAAAAAATCCGAGGTGTCTTTATCTCTAAAATTCAGACGATCTGAATAAAAAGTGACAGCAAGAACGCCACTGGCTTCGGTTAGCCGCCATATCGTTCATTTTTGCATCCAAACGCACGAGGAAGGGATCACCAATCTTTAAACACCAATGCACCAACGGAACCCAAATGTCTTGTAAAACTTCCACTTCCGTCCACTATTCCAAATTCCATCCACCTCTAGGTTCCGCTACTTTGAATTAGGCACGAAAACAGCTCCATTTTGTGCAGCCGATAATTCGGCATGTATAACTCATGGTCGAGGCATATAAGTTTGCAGTGCTGGATGTATGCTTTAACCGAAAACCGTCCACCTCACTATTTCCTGATTAACTAGTTGCTAATTTGCTACAACTACAGTTCAGAGACCTAAAGATATCTCATACATGGCGGGCGGTATAGGGAAGTCTCGTGGCCGTACAACGTACAATACAGATCGCAATATTGTCTGGCAAACGAATCTTTAGAGACCCTGTGATACGTTTTATCATGCCACAACCAACGCAAGCTGGAAAACGCAATTTCGACCAGTAAGATTCATGTGTTCACTCCATCTGTCGTCAGGGCTGATGCAAATTCCGAGATACGTATGGTGTTCTACAACTTCCTGAGAAATTACTTGAATTTTAGAGGTTTGGTCAATGAGCGTACAACCCACAGCAGTAATATGGATAGGATGCTTATAGGAGTCATCGGGGTAGCTTTCGTCGATTCGTTTTATGGACTATTCTGGATGGTAAAGTGAAGCATAATATTGCACAACAAACGTATGATATTATTCTGTTGTGTCGTCAGCTCCTATCACCTCCCCCAAAAATGACGCTTCTATGAATGCTCTCTTGTTGGCTAAAAAGGCATATTGGAAATCAAGAGTGAGTTGAATGGAGTAAAGCTAGTCTGACGGCACTGGCTCAAACACTCCAGTCAACAGAAGCCATCAAGTTTATTGAGCATACGTCGTAAATAGTGTCTGACAGCGTGTGATGAAGAAATAACAAACTTAGATGTTGATCGCTTCCTGGATATATCATCGGTCGCAGGCTATTGTGCGGTTTGGTCTCGCATAAAAAGTCACCAAAGGGAGAAACCATATTCATTGGAAATATCATGAATCACGTTTCTTACTGGTGGCTCTAAAGGATCGTCCAAATCTGTCCCATTTGATTGTATCATCATCGTCATCCTAATACCCACAAAGTCTGTAAATTATTATTCGGATTGAACTGCAATTTCTAAAATTCATTTGCTGAGTTTGTGTTGTAGTAATAATCTATCCACACCGTGTGTGTCACGGATGAGATCGAATAGATGGTGTGCTGTGACATCCGTTTAGGTTGGTTAGTGGTGAAAAAACATAATGGCAATTGCATGGTCTACTATAAATCAGCGTTTCGATCACCGTGGGTGACCTGAGTAAAGTAGCTGGATTAAAAAGCTGGGCTAGAAAAAACTCCGCAACCCTGGTTGTGTTATTTCACCACTAATCTTAACAAACTGTACCGTATTAGTTTGAGAAGGAAAAAACATGAACTGAGCCACTAGATTATTTTTGATTAAGTAGGTCTTGGAAAGAATGAAGCAGAAAGAGGGATGCCAGAATCTGCGGAAGGTTCTGATTTATTGCTTGGGCTAGCTAACCTATGCTGTTAGTCTGTGTAGGATCTTTACGCCGGTCTTAACTGGTTTTTAGCAAGCTTATCAACGAAATCAATGGCAGCCTGACCTTTGCACAAATTTTGACCACGTGTCTGCTGGTAACCGAGAGACTCATAGACGAAACTTAACTTTGTAATACGTAATTTACGTGCTTCGCGGTATAGAAGTGATATTGTCTATATTGATATGTTTTACAAAATTGACGACTATAAAAGTGTATCATGTACTAAAGTGGTAACATCATATCATTCTGGAAAAATGCTTTTTGTCAGAATCAGTGACAAGCGTTTCCAGCCAATTGAAAACTGGATCTTATTTCACTGCAAGAGCCATGCACAGATTCCCATAGAACTCTCACATTTGTTCTACGAAAGGTGAACTCACCGTCCTTTAGGAGCGTCCGAAAGGTTTTCTTCCTTAAGGTAGCCTCTTTCAGGAGGATACAGTGAGGTCTCGCTTTTAAATAACGTTTTTTGATGCAAAATGAATCACACTACTACAAGTACAACACCAGTTTAGCGTCTGATGTTCTTTACTTTAAGCCCTCTAAATTTACTTTTTTCGTTATTTTGTTTGATCCCATGCTCGTTTCCATTTTCCCAAAGATGCTCACCCAGCTTCTGCGCTTCATCAATCCTTCAGTCAGCATAATGGTTTGTGGGCATATGAGTCGCGAAGAGCTGGATGCTTCGTCATTGGCTAACACGGTGAGGTTTCCTGGCAAACTGGTTTCTGGACACTTCCGTTGCCACATCCTGTAGGCGTTTGGAGATATTTACCAAGTTGATTAACATTAGGGCGCCACAAATGATCGACCACAGGCTACATCCAAAATAACAAGTGCATGAATTGTAATTACGCGGCATCTCTGTCCTTTAAACTGCGATATTCTGATGTGGCAGATGCTGCTGTGGAAATTTCCATAAGTGTTCATTGAAGTGGTTTGCGTGAATTCAGATAAACTTAGTTTTCAAGTTAGGGTGATGACGATGAAAACATCACTTGGATCCAGGCCAAATCGTTCGTGTAAGTTATTCTTCAGCTGAATATGCTTTACAGAGTCAGTTGCATAGTTCATTTGGAACAATGTCGAAGTACGTTCCTTGAGACGGCATTGCGTCCAGTATTGGCCTTATTATTGGCATCGTATCGATGGTTTGGATGGTGCCTCAGTGATGAATGGGAGGACCTTGGCAGAGGCCTCACTCAAAGTGGCCACGGCTGTCACATGATTTGCTGGACACTCCATCCAAACACCTGTATAAATTTGTTACTTGACGAGGTCAGTAAGTGCTACCTGCGCGTTCGGAAACTCGAAAAAAATTTATGACTTGATAACGACAATAATATCTCAAACGTTGGCTATTCGCCCATGGCGTGGAGTTTGCAACAGCAGCCCGCGTGCATAAATAAGAATTCGCAGTGAGACAGGCGAGGAAATAAACAGGCAAACCCGGTAGACGAATGCAGTACTTATTTGGATGAATTACTATTTTTAACCGAAATTTTCACCGAGGTTTGTCGCCACTCATTTTTGGATCATCCTATTCGACAGTCCAGTGTTTCATGTGAATGAAGATAGTCATGAAAATACTCGTGAAATTGGTGCGGTTCCTTCAGCATCTACTTTCGATTTGCGTTCCAGCTAATCAACGTCCTTGGATTGTGTATTGATACGGGATTTTCCAGTGCCTTTGATACCCTCTTTTCTCAGGTGAGTTTTTGCACGCTATTTGTGAGTAGGCTGTGCAGCTGCCTGTGTGCTACAATTGGGATTAAATTAAGAAGTATTATCAAAAACTGGGTGACCGTTTGGAATTATTCACTCAAGAACACTCAGGCTAGTCAGTAAGCTAAACAACTAACACATTACATGGACGCAGAGCTGTCTATTGGTATTCCTAATGCACTCATCCGTTCTAACCCGAACAAAGAGTTCTTCGCAGTGTGGTTTACACTTGTTGAAAGTCATTACTTTGATCATTACTTTAATCCAGGGCCAGATGGCTCAAGTAGTTAAATTGCGAATTTAATGACCGGAAGGTCCGTGGTTCAAACCCGACATCTGCCTCTCGACTTACCCTTTCTAGGTTTACAACCTGGCAGTATCCCGGCTCTCGTGCTTCCTTCGGGTTGTGTGGCCGGTAGGCACCGGGTGTTACAGGTGAACGATTCGAGATAATCCAGCGTGCACAGCCAAAAGTCATTCAGTGGATGACTGCGGGAAAGCTTAGCATATCTAGGATACATAAACACGTGACTCTCGTTTGAACAATCGCCCTCCTGTCCTTGCGCAAATATTCTGGTGAGTCCACCGTAATGAGGGGGAGGCGCTCAACTTGGGTTTCTCTCCTATTGGAACCAATTCGGCAACCCATATCAGAGGGCTTGAACTCCGCACATCCGCCATGTGAGACAAGCCTGCTTCTACTACTCCACCAGCACACGCTGGACTCATCCGAATTCTTACGCCCGAATAGGTGAACGTGTTCGTGCTTGAGTGATATGAGCGGAAAGCCCGGCCCTTCGAACGACCACCCAATAGCACACCTTGGTTGCGCCAACCGATTAGCCCACCACTCAGGGCTTGTCAGTCAGGACTTGCCATTCCAGTAGCGCCACATACGCGCTGGACACATCTTGTTTCAGGTGTTGGTGGTTGCGGGTTTTGTAGAATACATGCTCACATGACTCCCGTTTGAACAATCTTCCTCATCTGGCGCGATCACACCAAAGGGGTGGGGGTGTTGGTGCGGGTTTTGTAGAATACATGCTCACATGACTCCCGTTTGAACAATCTTCCTCATCTGGCGCGATCACACCAAAGGGGTGGGGTGGAGGTGAAAACAGTGCATTTGAGTTTCGCTCTTATTAGAGCTCGTCAGCAGTGCATATCCAATGGCCAATGGACACTTCAATGTCAGAAGTCTTCAGTGATTCATAAGCTTAAGTGCAAAAAGGTATTAGTAATCAACACAACCATTGCCATCATACAGTGACATTTATTCTCAGGAGCAAGGAAATGCCCCCTTGGGATGTGCATTTTTCCTTCCCTGTATGCTTCACTAAGACGAATAGGCTCTAAGCCCATTGTCATTGAAAAGACCGAAATACTTTAGCTGTGCAGTGGAAGTCCAAACTTTTTCGTTCCAATCGGAAACACAGCACACAACACTGATTTAGTTCTCCAGTAGGTCCGTTCAGAATTGGGTGTGTGCGGTACTTCAAAGCATTTGTACAAATTTCATTCATAAGCATTCCTTAATTAATTCTTAGCTGAAGAGGCACATTGTTCAAGAGCTATTAGGGAGGTTTCCTTCTGCTGAATAGTCCTGATTATCCCAAGCATTTCACAGTTCTCAAGGAGAACTTGACCGTTTCAAAGCCATAAGGATGACACCCCATATAAATATTAATTGAATAGCTGAGGTGATTGATCCTAGGAAACCAATGGGCTGCAGCTTTTGTCCTGATTTTTTAAGTGAAGTTGGTGCAACAGGATTTCAGTCCTCTTCTTAAGAACCCAGTAACTTATAGTAAAGTAATTGGTAAATTAATTGTAAATACCATATCAATAGGCCAAACCTCCGTCACCTGATAGCGTACGTGCGATTGGTTCTGATGTCCCTTCAAAATTGCTTTTGCCACATTCCCTCTCTTGATTGTCTTGATTGTTCGCTGTTTCCCTCACAGGCGTACGGTAGTCAAAACCGTCGTATGCTCGGCGTATTCTTGCAGAGAGGTGGGCGTTTCACTTAATAATATCAGTTTTCCAGCCATCTGCGTCATCCTGGTGATCTATTCAATCTTGGCCTGCATTCACTTGAACGTTGAACCTATCCTCCTTTTACTACGACAAGATCCCCTGATTTCTTCGTGAGTTTTGGCCTTTTTTCGGCTTTCATAATGTAAACATCTGATGTTCAAACATTAGGTTGTGGCGTTAACGGACTCCAAGTAATGATCAAGTGAACAAGATATCGAATATCATATTCTACTTCTTTGGAGTTCTTCATATAAATACAATCAAGTTGTCCCGCTTTCAAGACCGCCTTCAGAGGAGCCTCACATATTTTCAGTCTCCTGAGGCAGCCTTTAGGGAGTGGCCACATGAAATACAACCTACTTTATAAAGTTTACCATAGTAAACTATGTTGCACCCAATATAATATACTGCGCTATGATGCAACATAGTATGATATAACATAACAGAATGCAATATAATAGATCACTCCCAATAAAAGTGTTTTGTCCATTTAAATACACATAAATCAAGATGTGTGGAAATGTTAGTTTTCCTACTAAAACTTGGTCATTAACAATGCGATTTTTAATCAGTGCTCTTCCTCCATCTTTCTAATACTCCACATCTCTTATTTTCCTAGTTATCGATCGGTATTAGTTATTTAATCATCAGAAGGGAAAGCTTCTCGAGCCGCACATCACTCTAGGAATAAGTACTATTCGATGCATCTATTGATGGACCGTTACAAAAACACCTAATGAGGATAACAACAATTTGACTGATGATTAACCGAATTCCAAGAAAACTGCCAGGCCAAGCAAATAAACATTCTATTTAAACATGCCAAAACACCTGTGACGCCACTGAATTCACCATTTTGAAGGTCTATCGAGATACGTGTTGAGCTACCTTCCATTGGAAATCGTCAACTTTACAATAAAAATTGACACGGTACGGCGAATATTCCTTAGATTGTATAATCTTTTAAGAATCCGTTTTAAACATCATATATCTCTCGAGAAATACACTCATTTGCAAATCAATTTGGTTTTCACGGGAGACTCAATTGAATCTCTCGTTATGATGTCCTCCAGCTGAATGTGCTGCACACAGGCCCCCTCATGATTCAGTCGGAAAATCAAATTGATTTGCAAATGACTGTATTTCTCGAAAACAGTGCAATTTGGGTTCAAGTAGATCATAAGGTTGACGGAAACTGAGGGACTGCGCCTACCTGATGAGTCCCAAGAATGGCGAAACCGGTCGTGGGCTGTCGAAGAGATTTCAGCAACCTTATGCGTAGTTTCCCTTATTAAAAGATCTTATATCTCTGTTTGCCTTGGCCATCTTGGGATATAGTGCAGTCCTTGGCAATCAGAATACAAGCTGTATGTCTGAACAACACGTGGACTCATTTTTAGGACCGCGTAAAAGGGTTAATCTATGCACATATATAATTGCATCTCATGTGATATGACCGAGGACTGAGAGAATAGACGGTTACTTGAACCTACCTGTATCTGCGTTCGGCCTCTATGGATCTCACATTTTGCCAGTACACCTCAGTCGTTGTCACCATTCTGTCACTGTTGATGCTCGACCATTATCGCTGTTTCATCATTAGTGAATTTGAAACTCGAATATTTTCGCCGCATACTTATCCAAATCACTGAACAAAATGACGGTGGCTTGAACCAGTGCACTCAGTGTAAACTGCTAGTAGTCGATAAGGTTACAGAACCACGCGACTAAGCTGATACGTAGTTTTTATCTGTATGCTAGATGAACAGCCAATTTGTGTATTAGTGGTTGTGTGAAATCAGGTGACTTGTGGCACATGTAAAACTAAAGTCTGGTCATTGCTGTAAAGCCGTGCGGATCCGAAAATTGACTAAAAATGTCAACAAGGTTTCGAAGATCTACAAATGCTCGCTGTGTGAATTACGGATTGATGTTCCAGGCATCGCTCGGCAAAGGGTCAGTATGGACTGGACCACTGAGAGATTAGTTAGCCAAAAAGGCACAGAAAAACACTGGGTTTTTTGGCTGTGTGATCTGTGAGCAAGCGGATCGCAGCCACATGGAACCATCACATATATCAATTTCGAATAGATATAGGATCGTAAATCACGCTAAGCTCACTAAGTAGGTAGGTCAAAGTGTTATTGCTCTTCCGTAGGTAGCTACACTGCTCCGCCGTTACATGAAAATTCCAAACAAGCTGTACTATTCAGAAATAACCCCCCTCACACTTCAGAATGTTTTCATTAGGAGCACCCTACTTACCAGATATAAGTATCTTCTAGTCCGAGAATAATACACTAATTATAAGGTTGTTAAAAACGCTGACAGCACAATGGCTTTCAACCTTCTTGGGGCACATCGGACAGGCGCAGTCCCCAAGGTTTCTTCGACTGCTTGATGTTCTGCTTGAAGCCAGAATGGGAGAAATTCTGACAGGAGACTCAAATGAATCCCTCGTTTGTGATGCTCTTCTGCAACTGAATATACTGCCGACTCATTGTAAGTTGGTGCGATATTCGAGATGTCACGATTGGATGTATTTGACGAGTATCTGATGGTCCTCCAAACTTTTTGGAAACATGGCATGCCACATGTTGAGCACAGTGGCACGGGGTGATAGGTAGTCGTGAACCCTACGTGTCAAATGACTGAGCAGCCTCCTCATCACTTCCTGGGTTGGTGACACTTCCACGTCCTTCTATGCAAACATCTGGGCTGTTTCCGATCTTAGGTGAATATCAATCGCGAATAAACAAATCGCGATTCTCCCTGCAGCACTTTCCGATGATGAAAAGCTCACTACTTGGTCTGCGATAAAACTGTTTAGGGTTTGGACTGGGCAAAACCTTCGCTGACACCCATCAACAAAAAATGACAGCGGAGTTCCTGAAGTTAAAAATAAATGTACACTTTAAATCATTTGTAATGAATAGCGTGAACAGTGTTCCAAATGCATGTTTGAAAAAAACAACGTTGATCTTGAATAAGCGAACCACCATCCTTATTCTGCTGGAGTAAGAGTCCAATATTCTCATGACATTAGACGATAATTAAAAGCCATAGAATGCTTGCTATTGTGCAGTGGTTCATCAGTTCTCAGGAAACAAGTGACACCAGTGCTCATACAGTGAAGAGATAATTACTTCAGCTGAATAAAGAAACTTTGAAATTTAGCTACATAACAATGGCAGAATGCAAAAGTGCAAACGATGGAACAGTAACTGACAATAAAGCACTGCATGTTTCTTTGCTTTCGTATAGCTACATTGCTTATGAAGCAGATATCTCTCAACTCCACCACCTAAACTGATCTGAGTGCAGTCGGTCTTGTTCCCGGTGGTCTGTGACACAGTTATAAAAGCAACAGTTATGGAGTATTTTAGTGTGGCACGGAAACATTATATATTTTGTTCTTTCATGCTGAAGAGCTTCATTTCTTTGTTGAACTACTTGGTTTCTTTTGTTACTTTTGTGAGTAATGCACGCAGAAACAGGGACATTCTGTTGATCTTCAAGGCCGTTAATTCCGAGGAAGTTGTATCGTATCCGGAATGTGATTTCTCATCAAATCCACAATTTAGCAGTAAGGCGCGTGATTTGGATTCGGCCGTAAGTGCTTGCTGATTTTGTGGTAGAAAGTTCCCTGATTGGCATTACCACGATTAGATGCTGATATGTAGTAAGTAGACATCCATTAACTTCTTCGAATGTGGTTTGTTCAGAGCTAGTGTTGCACGTGAATAGTGAGCAGTACTTATCGGTTCGTCTGAAAGACTGTTGTAAGGCTGTCCTTAAACCTATGTTTTTCTGGCCACCTTCAGGCATCTCTTCTTCTATATCTGTAGTTAAATACTTTGTTGCGTCGCAAAGAATGTGGATTGCTGATGAGAACTGAGGAGGAAAGGCTATAATTATTCGTTGCTGTGGATGATTAGTTCATTTAATCACGAAAGTCGGTTCGTAGATCTCAACTGCCCATTGATCTCAATGGAGGACCCGATAATTCCCATGAGAGAATATTTGAATAAGAAACTCATTCTGGAGGACGTAACCGAGTATTTCAACTGCACGAGGTACCCTGTGTGAACTGTGGGACCAACCGGTGGTTTTCGATGAGAATGAGATCGCTTTCTGGTAGAATATCTCATAGTATTTCGATGGTTGGGGCGTCAGGACAGTGTGGTTCGAACAGGTGATCAAGACGCAGTGTTACGTCCTACAGTAAGGCAAAAGGTCATGTTGTGAAGTTCTCGCCACACACGTCCTTACGTTCTCATTTAAAAAAGGATTGTGATGATGGCAATACCTGAAGGAGTTTCATCGACAAGCTGTGCACCACTGTTCATTAATCACCATACTCGCAATAGGTGTTTTTGAATATCCCCTCTATTATCCTACTCTAATCGCTCGTATAGATAAATAAGCCTCCCTCGAAAAAGCATTTTTGTAAGTTTTTGCAGCGAAAGACTGAGAAAGAGCCCCGTTTGAGATATAGTGTTTGAAAACTGTGGAAAACAATCTTGGTGGCCAAACAGTCTCATCAAGTCATCTACTACTTAGAACGTTTGGTCTTCTTATTAGTGAAGGCGAGAGATTGAGACGGCACAGGCGCAGATAGTTTGCTTTGGGTTTTCTTCGGTTGGGTGCACAGTGGGGGATAACCATCTTGTTCAGTTAGGCCTGCACTAATATTGTTGAAGAGATGTTCCTTTTAAGTGGCACACTGTGATGAATTAATGTTGACCGCCGGGCCAACAACGATGAGGCCTCATTTTGGGCGCGTTTGGGAGGCGTAGTCCTCGGATTCTAACAGATTGCCTTGATACTAACTGCAACGAATTTACCAGCTCCACAACCTATATTCTAGCCTGCAGGCAGAGCCGATTTACAGTAAAAAATTCAGTGAATACGACTGAGCTGTTTCGTTTTTTTTCTGGTGGTGCCACTATCCACGAGGTTGTTGACATATCGCGATAGGTTTCGTCCTTCTCCTATCCCATCAGGTAGGCGCAGTCTCTGATTTTCCGTCAAACTCATGTTCTAATTGAGCTCAAACTGTTTGATACCCATGAAATACACTCACTTGCAAACTGCTTTGGTTTTGACGGGAGACTCAGTTGAAGCTCTAGCTGACTGAGCTTACCGTGGACACCAAATTACTGTTCAAATGAGTGCATTATGCCAACCGCGTAAAAATCGGTAAATGTAGGACATAAGTCTGACGACGCTCTTGGGATTCCGCCTACCTAATAGGACTCGAGAGGCACAAAACCGGTCGTGGGATGTCGAATAGTTTTCAACAAGCTCATCTGTACCTTATTCGGCCAAAGAAAAAAAGGCGAAACAGCCTGACACTATTCTGTCAACAAGATAAGATTTCTTGGGTACCGTACCAATCGTTTTGCTCAGCCGTTTAATTCTAGTTCGGAATCATCAACAATCTCATGTCTTCACTTTGTAACAAGTCATTCTTCGTGTTTGTTCTAGCCATAATCAAACAAAAGTCGAGTCATTTTTTGTCTGCAGCAAATTTTTTCTAAGGCTAGAGGTACAGCCATCCTTTCGAATATTCCTAGACTTATTCCTCTTTTTGTGACTCACGTGATAGTAGGTAACGCAGCCAAATTTCATGTGCATTTCTAGGGTGGACATTATGCGCTTGAAGCGGGTATTAATTTTGATACGCACACAGAATATCCCTTCTCGTTCTATTATCAAGTTGGATGTCTTCACTGTGGTTAGTAGTAAAAGCGTGTACTTGACATTGACAGAATCTTTAAGCTTTTCCCATAATACTTGCAGTGATTTCTAGATGTCCACTGAATGCAATGTTTCCACTTAACACAGTCTGGGTATGTTGGTTACAAATTTATTGTCGATCGTTGTTGTTGTTGTTGTTTATCATCATTCTTCCAATGTCCTTGCATTGCAACAGGCTCACCTCTGAGTATTTGCGATATTTTCTACCCGGTCTTGCGGTAAGTGGTGTTCGCTGTGTTGTGTTCCGCCTAGCATGGTATTTGTAGTGAAAACAGGTGACCATAAAATATAGCCCTATACTCCAATTTCTAATTACTAGCAATATTATCCATTATTGCTTTTTAGATTCTCAATCGCCACCAATGACAGAAAAATTTGCTTGATTGCTTTTGGGAATGTAAACTTAGTGGTTTATAACCCATCATCCTCATCCCTATCATCATCAGCATCATCATCATCAACATCAGCACCGGCATCAATCATCATCATCAACACAGCACCGGCATCATTGATAGCAACCTACAGTAATACATGCTGGTGACGTACCCCCAAACAACCATAATGGGAGGAAAGCCTTACTAAACAGCGGAGAAAACGGAAGGGTGGGAGCTTGGTGCAAAGGAGCCATAAGTCCTTAAATGAAACGAGCAAGAACAAGGAACCCGTACCTGGATGTCTGGCTGACGTGTTCACAACGGGGATTTAAGTAGAAGTGACTATGAAATGGGACAAGACGGGAGTTAAGTGATAAAAATACAGATAGGTGGGAGGCACTAGCAGTAGGATGTTCTCGCCCATTCATCGTGCTGTGTGCAACGAATAAGGTAACCCGGCTGATGTCACCATGACTTGGTTTGTAGAAATCGCGATTGGAAGTGAACAGAGTTGTTGCTTTGCGCCCGAACTTAGGCGTTGAGGTCCTCAACCAAAGTCCAAAACATCGACCTTGGGTCCACCGGTGGTAGGCATGAGACTACTTGGTTTGTCCAACTTTTAATTGAATAATGTCGCAGTGATTCCAACCCTCAAAATAGAGGGAAAGGAGATTCTGTCAGACCTCTACCCGTTGACCAAATCAATAGGACGGACTCTGCGGATAGTTAAAGGTCACCCTTCAACACAGCTCGATGGGTTACAGAGTTACGCTAACCATCGCATCGCGACTAGGCCCGGTCCACTCGCGGCCGAGTAGCTTACCCGATGACGCTGTGTACTGAGTTTCCTGAGAGTCACTCTGTCCCCTCATCCGTAACCGTGGTTACACTGGCAGCCAAACATCGGAAATCTAGAAGTTCTATCTTTGCTGAGTTGCATAGCATGTGAAAGTTCTCAGTCAGCCTTGTAACACTAGCAGCAGCCTTCTGTCACTGCCTATCACTGTCTTCTAGTCGAACCATCTGAGTTTACCAGCAAGTCAATATTGACCGCAAGAACAAATACCCAGATGTCGTCGTTCATCACGTGCTTGTCAGGTGTGTACCGGGTAGTTCACGTCTGGAAAAAGACAGCGCCATCATCATCACCGAGACCAGCACCAGACAAGAACAGTGGCGCTTCACTGCCGTAAAGCCACGTCAAATAATTAGAATAAATCCGTGTAATGGATGAAAGAAGAAAATTGGACCGCGAGGTCTACTACAGATATCTCTATAGAAACTGATATCAAGAACACCATTGTTATCGCTTATTCGCTACACCGTTCAGTGTCTCCAACCAAGGAGCTCCCTTCTGGAAGGACAACAGCCCCAACATCGTCCAAACCTTTTGTGATATCTTTCATTTCCTTTAGTCATGTCAAATTCTGTCCATCTATAAGTTTTCGCCACTCTGAGTTACACACGGAAAGCAATGCTCGTCTCAGCAGATAAATCTAGACTTGTCTAACACATGCAGTACTATGTATAGAGCTGGTTGTACTCTTTGAGGTAGCTATGAAAAACGCTATGCTGACCACTAGGTGTAAAGTGCTGTTGGTTAAGAACGAGCGGCTTACGGTCTATTGACAGTTTTCAGCGTGGACGCCTTCCTAATATAGTTTACTCGCCAACATTACTACCACAATATTTTGGTGGGAGAATGTCTGCCATTTGGTTTGCTTCCAAGACCGTAACTCCATTTTCAAATGCGTAGTTTCAAGCAGAATATTCCGTCAACACAACAGTTACATTGCGTTCTTCGATTATATGAGACTACGTGCAACATCGATCGATTGAAGGACAGATGGACACGTATAGTAAGCAATGGACATAGCAGTCCAGTTTAGGCACCACTTATACGATAGCAAACATCAATGTTGGAACATTGGTGTTGTGCTATAGACGGCGGTAACGATGATGCCCAGATGCCAAGTATAACTGGTCTATACGGGCCGGAACTGCTGTAGTTTTGGACTTCACATTGAGAGTCTAAATTTAGAGTATTAAATTCACGTATATAGCACTGATAATGAATGATATTCAAAGATACTTGCATCCATTATCTTTCAAATTTATATGCCAAGTTACCACAGCAAGATAGGAGGAAAGTTGGGAAGGATCATCGATCTCACAGGACGGGTGTATACTCACTTGTACCGGTTTGCTATTTGGTCTACATTATCTAGAGGGTTCGAACAAAGCCCCGTAGTGGCAATCAGGGTCATTTTCTGCATAAAGGCAACCAGTTTCTGCTTGTGATAATTTGCACGTTCAACGGACCACTGTCGACTCATGCACATTTACTGTACGTGATATCCAGTCAATGGAGAGTTTGTCCACTTCACGCGTGGGAGCATTTGTCCTTCCTCCAGCCACACAATAAATCAAAAGCAATTAAGTAACTGCCTTAACAATTTGCATTTCTCTCGGCTAGCCCTACATGTCTTGGGGACATTGTATTTGTTCTCATGAAATGTCTTCAAGTCTCTCTTTGTTGCAACGCATTCCATTTGGAGAGGTATTCTTTTGCCGGACAGTGGGGCCCAATAGGTTGTCTACAATGAATAACCTGACGAGCACTTGACTTTTCATATTACAAGGGGAAGTTTACCTGAATTCGTTCAAATTAGGGATAGCCGCCCTAAAATAAGTGCACTTATACCGCATAACCTCTATGGAAGCAGCAGCAATCATTGCACTCCGTCAGTAATGGTGTAGAGCATCCTGCACACAAAGTCAATCTGCGACAGCTGATTAAAGTAGGTTCGCCGAACGCCATCGTCATCTTGTTAAGTGATGTTTACTTTGTCGATTTCCATTTTTTAACGAGAGTGCGAATTCGGCACACTTCAACTTTCACCCGTAAACTATATTCATTGAAGGCAGCAACTTAAGTTTATCAGCATCCAGTTATAACGCGTGTTCTCTACCATAGTCCTGATAGAACAACATGGTTGAGCCCTCCTGAAATGTAGCACGGACTGCTAGATTTGTTTGGAACTGTGAGTCATAAATAGCACTCCTCCACATGCATCTTGTACTGAGTGACCGTCTCCAGTCTTTCGCTAACACCAGTGAATCGCTCACTGTGACCCGTGGCGTAAGTTGAAACATGTCTTCGGAAAATCTACCGGCTTAGGTAACAAACGTGACTTTCTCATAACAGACCAGCTATGCACAGGGCGTAATGTGTGGCGCTCAAATTGTTCCGGATCAGAAAAATCGTTTGTACCAAATGAATTGCCTCAGACTGTACACCCAACCGTTTGCCCATTGCATAGCATATGCAGTGTTCACTGATAAATTGAGCTAATCGCTGGCAGCTTTACACCAAAGGAAACTGATGTGGATGAAATACTTCTTTAAGGGACTGAATTTACTTCTAAACATAATACTTTTATGGTTATGATTCATGCAAAAAAAAACAACTGCCTTAAATTTACATCAATCCTTTATTCCTTTGGCATTTCTATCTACAGTGTGACTTCCTATTTTTGGCTTTAACTCGGTATTTGCAAGCACAGAACATCGTACTTCCAATGGTCTATGCGTCCTTGATCGGTACCATATTTAATTTATGGGCGCAACATACATTTGTCTTGAAGATGAATTTAGGAATCCGGTAAGTGCTTCTAGTGCTTACTCTTTTATTACCATCCGTGTAAATTTGAGGCGATAACAAGCCTGGTGTAATGCATTTTTTAAGAATAAAAATGACCTTTCCGTTAGAAAAGTGAAGATGGTGCATAGAAATTAGCTGGTACACGATACACCAAATGCGCTCTGCTTCACCCCATATATGTGACAAAACAAAGTTTTCACTATGGAGAGGTTGAGATCAGGTCAAGTACAGGGGGCATGTCAGTCATACAGCCGATTCTTCCTGTTCCCAGAGTTCTGATTTTCATGTTCTGATTGCAGTGGATTCAGAACTGTAAACCACTTTGGAATACAGTTGCCGGATAATCGAAGTAACCGGCTATCTATGAAGCCGGTACTGATTGTGCAGTTGTATCCAGATTAGGATTTAGCCGACATAGGTTTTTTGTGCAAATCGCGATGAGTTTTGCCCAACTTAAAGTTGACTTCTAGTTGCGTCCAGATTGATGGCTCAGCCTCACGTATTGGAACTTTAACTATAAGAGTCGGATTTCGGTTACACACCTAGATAAGGACGGGTCCGAGAGCATGGTGTTTGCAGCTTTTACCTCAACTTTCAAATTCCCCCTCGTGCGTAACTGGGTCTCTGGAAAATATTTGTTGCTATTGGCTGAGGAGCCCTGGTTGGTACCATGTAGGCGACTAGACAACACCGAGCACTGGAGAGACTTGACTAGCAGTTGAAAGCAGTGGTACACAGAATCTTCCTCAGACTTCAAAAATGTTTCCGGTGGCTTTCATAGCTTACTTCATTCGATTCCACCAACACAAATATGAAACTAGGTTGCCAGAGAATTATATCTGTAGAGCTTTAGAATGCTGAACAATCAAATAGTTTGTCCAATCTGTGTGAAAGTTTCACAATCACTAAAATTAACCATTCAGGCCGCTGTGCTCGTGATCTACAAAAGTACCTATCTAGAATTACTGTGTAATTTCAGTGGAATCAGTAAGAGGATTTCGTAGCGTGAACTAGCTGGAGGCTGAAAGTGGGCAGCATGCACCTACCTTGGTTTTATTCAGTAGGTTCATGCCTCACACCACAAGATTGGCTAAATTATCCATCGTGCATGTCAGCTACTTGTGACAAGCTGTGATTCTGTATCGGCTGCCGTGTGATGGGCTTCCGTTGATGCACCCACAAGTTGCACTACTTTAGAAAATTAAGTAGGCGCCGACTGCAATAAATACGTGGCAGCACCGAAGCAGAAGTGGAAAATTAGGATAGGATTCTAGTTGTTTATTTGTGGCTTGGGCCGTGAAGTGTCTCAGTAAAATATCCGATTGAGTGCTTCTTGTATTTTCATAATTATTATCGAAAGCCACCTCACAAATGACTTCATCGAATGCTGAAGTTGCTTTCCAATCTATACCGTAGATGGTCATCGTATTCCCACCTTGAACATTATTCTGTGGACCCAAAAGTTACGTCTCGGTTGTAAGCGTTTAGAATAAAATGTACAGAACACACTTTACAGGAATCCGAGGGTTGCTGGTAAATATTTCTATAGGTTAACAGGGAGGAATGCCTGGGGATTATTATCACCAGAATTAAATGAGTTTTTGAAAAATAAGAGTGAAAATATATCCTGAAGTGATACACAGGGTGGTATGGTTGACGCATTCTGACATTTATACTGTTTCTGATAGTACTTCAAAAACGCAAATCGGGTCATATCTTCTCATAACAGGTAGATAAGTGGTCTTGTTTATTATAGGGGTGCTGCTCCGGGAAGGGGTTGTCTCTCTTAAACACTATCACTAGATAGACCACACCTGAGCCAGCATAAGAGGGTTTCCTTGTAACGTGTGTGCTAAGAAAGGTGTTGAGCTTGAATTGCATGCTGGGAATCTGTGATGCATCAACAACATCATGCATGAATAGTCAGTCGTGCAAAAAGTTTAGTGTTTTGATTTTTTCTCGAGGTCTCGTAAGTGACATTGTTATGACCTTCCACGACGTTCCAGATCAGACCACTTGGTCTAGTTTCTGATGAACCAGTTGAAGAAAGTTTTGTTACTTTTGAGTTTTTGAGGGTTATTTGGAAGTAAGTTTGTATCGGTCTTACCGATCAAACAGTGTGGGGGCATGCATAGGCATTTGCTCAGAACATGGTTATCGGTTCCGAATATGGTTACCTTGGAGTTTATTAGACTGTGCTGTTGACAAAATGGTTGGACGTCACATATTTGTTGTAAGGCTGCTAACTAAAGAGAGGTATGGACCTAACACTTGCCACTTAGGTAAAAATTCAGAAGTTCGCATACAGAAAAGAGTAGGTTGGCTAAGTGGATAGTTAATAGTGAACGATTACGCCTCCTCACATCCTCCTATTTTCACAGGGCATCTGCCCTTTGGCTTTCAGTCTCATTCGGAATAATGCTACTCTGTGAAATTGCATATATTTTGATCTCCGGGACATATAAAGAAACTTGGAGCGGTAAGTTTGATAGTTATTCAGCGACTTATGATACTTGTTGGGGCTGCATTCCTAACCCAGACTTTGCGTTTTGTAGATAGACGTCTAATTAGGACAGCCAGTCAATTTGATGATCCATTTTATTTCAAATGACTATTGATTATTTTATGAGGAGAAATTTGGTAATGTTGGCGTTGCTTGTCTCTGTCCCACCACCTCAAGTTACGTGAAGACAAATGAAAAATTTGTCATGCAAGCCCACCCCATCGAGGAAAGCTAAGAACCGAGGAAAATTGATTGATTCTCAGCAGTACGGTCATCGTGAACGACGGCAACACTAACGAAATCCAGTGACTGTCCACCGACATACACCCACGCTTACTTGTTTGAATGAAGTCCTATGAATTGAATAAACCAATTGAAAAAGAGTTTGGATTACGAATTTGAACAAACGTTTTTGTTTGGTTGTAACGTGCGCTGAGCTTTACGGGAACTTGGTGTTAATAGACGGTAGATTTGACGCATGTACAGTATGCATAGTTCAGAAGCAGCAAATATGCTCAGCGTTTGGAGGATGGGTTCCTCATCCTTCGAACAAACCTTGAGCGTTGTTTTCTGCAACATAAATGAACTAAACTGGTTCTTTTTTACGGACACAGGAAATGAGATCGAGGGTGGCTAAACTACTTCATACGCTTCTCGGTTCATGCCATGGTGATAGTGAGTAGAGTGGGTACATACAACGATTTAATTGGGCCTAGTTCGATTTATTATATAAAGTATTTGAAAGTTACCGTGTGCTTTCCGTTTTTCCTTCAAGTTCACGTTTATGAAATGTAGATCAATCTCGTAGAGATTTTTTCTAAATATCAATCGTTTTTCTAAAGGTTTTAATCTTCGGGCTGCAACAAGAAACTGGGGTGTCATCTTTCAGATGGGCATTCCCGGTCTGTTCATGGTATCACTGGAGGAGTGGTGTTTTGAAATAATGACTTTTATTTCCGGTAAGTTTTCAATATCATTTTTATAAAATCAGTAAAATCAGCAAACATGGTTACTTGACGATCACCAAATTGAAAGATCAATGCTCCACTAACTATCCAATATAAGGTACAAACCTGTCAGAGATGTCGTTCCAGGAGATCTTAATGTCACTGTAAGAGTTGGCGGTTAGAAAACAAAGAATGAAGGTTCAAAAATCAAGGAAATTGAAATGTCATTATCGAGTTTAAAAGTTTATCGATATGCTGAAGTGTGCGCAGACATAGTGGATCTCATTTTTGGCTAGGTGGCCCGCTGGACATCCTAACTTCGCATTGATTTCTGTTGAGACGCATCAATAACTCCTCATGTGGTCTCAGGAATTTTTTTGAGATAGTTGTGAAAAAAATTCAAGACTTGCTTATAAACAGAAACGGCAGTGATAAAATCTACAGTGAGAAATTTTAGATGATAAGGGGGAACGATGAGAGACATATCATGAGACATATCAGCGTCAAGGGCGTTGTCATCACAGAAGTTCTGGTAGTAAAAACTACGAAATGGAAGAAAACAAGCATCGACATCGAAAAAATGTCTTCAACAGTAAAAGTGCCAAGTTCGGCACCCTAAGATTGCCGCACTCTGTGATTGGAAAAACTCTTGGTTTGAAATCCATGGTAAAACAGACTCGCTTTAGTCACTAACACCTTTCAGTAAGTAGATAGGTTCTGCAATTGATCCCGAAGTCATCGTTTCAGCGAGACCTGTTAAACGTTCGATAGTTTTCGAAACTGGGCATTTTTTGATGCAATGCTAAGTAAGTAGGTTTCCAGTTTGGCCTGACGAAACTTCTGCGTCAAAAGGTTAACTTTGTCCAGTTATGAAAATTTTCGATTAGATGGATATTAATTTATCGTGTTTATCCTATGGGAACAAAGGTGCAAAGTCTAGCAAGAAGGCCAAGCTGCCAGACTCTCGTATTTTTGAAATCATCGTTGATATTGACCTGTCCAGACATTTACGGATATGTAGAAAAAACGGTCATTCATATTGCTAGAAGTTTTATGCGGCGCCTTATTCTGTGGGTGAATTTCTGGTCGAGATGTGACTTCGCGGAGACGTTTTAACATGCAAAGTGAAAATGCGCTGTACTGGATATTTTCTCTAAACCCGTTTGGAAGATAACTTTAACTGATTGGTCACATGCAACAATACTCGGTCACTCTACTTTTGATGTTTGTCTTGCCTACTACCTTTTATTCCATAGGTGCAATAAGCGAAGTAACTTTGGGAGCACAGGCGATCGCATTCCAGGTTCAGAGCCTACTCTACATGGTAAGTTTTGGTTGGATGGATTGGCTCAACTTTACATGGTTTACGCCTTACGACTAAGCGCATCACAGTAGCAGATGAACTCCCCCAACCAGAGGATCGAATAGTTTAAGCTGAGTCTCCTCTTTGAATCAAATTTGTCTACAAATGAGAATACTGAAAATCTGTTCAATTTGGGTTGAAGTAGAACATGAGATTGAGGTGAACACATGGATGAACCCAAAGGAAGATAAAGCTTGTTGTTGGCTGTCAAAAAGATTACAGAAAACTCATGAGTAGTGTGTACCGTCTAGTTCTTGTAAGGCATTATGTAAAATATCCCACCAATCGAAACATGAGGCGGCTTTTTGCGGCATGTTCAGTCACAGAATAGCATCACGAATGAGAGAATCGGCTGGACTCAGTTGAGTCTCTCGTCGAAACCAAATTAGTGCAGCATGATGGTAATGAGGGGATCGCTAGCTTAGAACCAGTCGAGACCGAAATGTGACTGACCGTACAGATCCGGAAATATTTGTGCCCACGATGAAATTTATCTTTTAAAGTTAACAACTGAGTCTCTGAAAAGTTTCGCACTGGCTGCCACACAGTGCAACACCAGCGTAGTACACCGGCGAATTCGGGCCCCTAAAACTGTTTTTTTCCATTGAAAATATCATTAATCCAGCAGTTTTTTTTCCATTGAAAATATCATTAATCCAGCAGTTCGCCGATATACGATTTGCTACGCAAGTCGATATCCTACCTTCACATAGGCTACACACTTTGGTGTACTCTGTTACCACAATTTTACGGCAAATTACCGTGTATCATCGACCTTTCTGTCGCCTTTCTTCACAAGTTCACCGCCATTTCTTCTAACGTTTTGATGAGGACTGCTATTGGGCGCTGATAAACTTTAGTTCCCAGTGTGTTTGTGGACCTGAACAAGGAACTGAGTGAAGTAAACGGATATGGGTTTCACACTACCACCGCAAGTATCGCCACCAATCGATCACAATATCACGGTCAACAACCGGGCCACTGTATGCGTTTGTATGGGTTTACGAGTGTAGTGAGACGGCTGATTGGATTGAGAAGTAAACGTCTTCTTTGCTTGAAGGCCACACTTTAGATGCGCAACTCAGGCGATAATAATTAACACACTTAGTGAATGAGGGGTCTGCGACAAACACAAAACCTATCAAAGACAGCACTGACCATGTATGGTGCTGATAGGCGGAGAAATATCAATATCGTGGGTCAATGCAAATCCAAGATCGTAATGCGATTCCGCATAGTTGTACAAGAAGTTACCTAGACTCAAATCTGGGGCATTTACAGGGAGTACGACAATGATGACTTTGACAATCCCCACGAAAATCGTGATTTGTCTGTAACACAGGAGTTTTCGAGTGACGAGACAGATGAAAACACTCGAGAAGGACCATAATAAATGTTGGCCAAGCATATGATCCCATGGTCACTGGCATTGACGAACTGGTTCTATAGGAGAATTAGTCATACGCTGTAATTTCACATGAAGATGCCATCCTATTTGGTCTTTCTGGGAGGGGATTTACTAGGCTTTGAGAAATCAGTGACAACAGATCACTTCCGAGGCCTGTTCTTCTCGACAATGTCAACAAGAGTAGTCCGTTACATACACAAAAGGTACATATGTCAGCTGTGAAATATCGTACATACTTATGGTCTACAACTTAATTAAGCAATATAACATTCATCTCTTTAGCGTCATCTCAATTCATTTTTTATAGAGAAACCCACCATCGCGGGCATAATAAGACACTAATAAAGCTGTAGATTTTAATCTTACTCCAAAAAAGCAGCCTGAAACCATACTACGCCTGAAGTCACACTACACCAAAAATGCGTACAAGAACAGTGCCCAATCAATTCAGGCTAGGTTTTTGACTTAAATGCCCGTTAATTTATTTGAACAAACGTGACTGGAACCTTAAGGAAACTACTTACAAGGTTGCTGAAAACTCTTCGACAGGTTCCGCCTTTCTTGTGGCTCATCAGGTAGGCGGAGTCCCCGATTTTCCGTCAATCTTATGATCTACTTCAACGAAAATTGGACTGTTTTCGAGAAATACACTCATTTGAAAATCAATATGGTTTCCACGAATATCATAAACGAGAGGTCCAGTTGAGTCTCTCGTGAAAACCATATTGGAACCTACTTTATTTCGTTGGCGACCTTCTGCACAAAGCAGTGATTGGTTTTGTGTACACTTAGCTAGGAATGCTCGCGGGTTCTCTCTTAAGATCAATCCACTCAACCAGACGCAAACTGGCTGATTTATCTTCCCAAACAACATAAGTGAAGTAATTTGAATTTCGCACTTTCTCCTTGTATTTATTTTGTTGAACCCAAAGCGGATACGTGGAAAAAAGATGAAAAATGTCATGTTGAACCAAGCCCTCGAACTTATTTGGATTTAACTCATCAATGCAGGCAGACCTGAAAATGAGAAGGTTGTTTTCTCAGTTGATTGCAGGTTTCCTTCTTAACTGTGTGCATTATTAAATAAGATTTGGCTACTCACACATACCTGCCGGGTTAGGGTTAAACGCCATCCAGGCCAGATGTCAACGATATGCTTCCAAAAGCAACCGATGACCTCGAACTATGACCATCATTCGTACTTTGATAAAGCTGTAGAAACTGAAATTTTATCTCAGTTAAATGTCACACACAGTAAAATTGTGTTTCGTGGTTTTATTTGATATTCTGTTTTACCACGAAATACTTACTTTCAAACTCAGATCCCTCTTGGGCTGTTTACTGCGGTTAACGTACGTGTGGGACAGAAGCTGGGTGCGTATGATCCGGACGGAGCCCGCTTTACCTTCAGAACAGCACAGAGATTTGTCTGTTAGTGCACGTTTTTTGACGTTATCTTATTATTTTGTTATTTTCGGTACCTCTGTAGTGCAGTGTTTGTGGTGCAAAGAAGCAGGCTTTGTATGCCGTTCTCATTGTTGAGCGCCTTTGGCGTGTATTGTTATTGCCGTGCAGTTTTGGAGACCATTGACCTCATATTGGACGCCTGTTTCTAGCGTATACAAGTAGAATTTTGAGCCACTTTGTTTTGAATCGACTCGATCCATCTTTTCATGCGTTGTTTGGTACCAGCTTGGTACCGGTAACGCACATTGTCTGGATACTCAACATACGGTTTGACGGACGCACAACAGATGCAATAAACTGATTTCAATAACAAAGGCCCCTTTAGGTGATGAAGGTGCTCCTGGCAATTTTAGAATCAGGAGCGGTTCGGATAAGGAAACAGTAGGCGGTCTGAAAAACGTGACAATTGGGTACTAAGTGGTGGGACAACGCACTATTGAGCTAATCAGTAAATATGAGAGATTTTCTCTGCATTTTTAGCGGAAAATTGTGATTAGGTTGGAGGAAATATATTGTCGGTAAAAGTTGAAGACAGCACCTCTATGAAGAGCACGTAGAAGGGCGAAACGTGTCATAGTCTGTCAAAAATATACCAAGAGAATATGTCTACATTTTTAAAGCGCATGATTCGAGGCTTTTGGATCTCACTTGCGATTACTGTGCGAAAAAGAACAGCGACGTAGATTTTCTCGCACTTTAATTGTCTATCACGTCAGCGTGGGATCTCGAACACCACTGGAGAACAGCTACAATATGAGGGAGGCCAATTATTTCGAGCCCTGATGAAACCTCATTCATGAGCTTGAAGTCGCAGGTGAAGCTTATTTTTTGTTGTTGTAAGCAGAAAAGAACAAGAAGAGTTAGGTCGATTGGACCACACAGGGTACGCAGAATTTGTGAGACCAAAGAGTAACACGTGAAAAGCCGCACATTTAGAGAACTTTGCATGCGAGGATCAAGTAATTAGACACTAACACACCCGAAGCAATAAATATGAAGGTCTTTATGAATGATTAAAGGTGTGTGTTGATCATTATGCTTAAGGAAAGGGAATTTGTGCAAGCACCCATTTCAGCGTAGAGCTCAGAACGATTTGAGTTCAAAGGTCACCTTTAGGGAGACGGCCTCAAATGAACCATGTGTGACTTCTCCCACAAACTGATGTTTAAAGGGGAAGGAAGTTGTAAATAAAAGAAAACTAAAGAGACAAGATATAGGTGATCGCTCCTGAGGATTGGTGCTTTTCAAGGTCAACGTTCCCAGCCAGATTTTTAAATAGTAAGCTGACTTGAAGAATCAAATTTCGATTTCTTCACAACGCAAAGTGCTAGTTGTTTTAAGCGACACACAACTCATCATATAGAAGGAATATTCGCGATTTCTCAACGTGTTCACTTCAGATGTTTGTCTCTGAGTAACGCTTCACTTCCTTACACGCACCTTTATTACTAGGTATAGTTGCTCTTGCTACCGGCATCCCAGTTGTGCTTCTACGAAACAAATTGCCGTTGATTTTTACGGAAGACCAGTGAGTTCTGCTTTTTGTAGGATAAATCAAAGCATTAACAGCACAATTATCAGTCCAGCGTAATCGGTTTGATGCATTTCTAACATCCATGTTTCTAACTGACGGTCTTTATTAGTATCTATTCTTTAATTTGTACGCCAAGTCCTTTTGTCCTGAGTACGTTACAGTGAAGAACCGGTCTCTCTTTTCTGTCTCCCTGATGGCTTCCAATACTTTAATTCGGTTGTATATTTTGACAAACCTCGTACACTGATGTTATATTGTTTGTGATGTGGTACCCAGAATACACGTCTTCCTAGCTTGGGCCGTCGAGTTCATGGATGCAGGCTAGCTGATTACTGTGGCCTGTTGACGTTTCGGTAAGTGATGTCGTGTGGTCCATAATCCGATAGAAAAAAACATCTGTACATGGCGATTTCGTCAAGATTTTCGCAGCTAAAAGATCATGCGCCCCACCAGTTGCAGTTTTGTAAACAACTTTTGTTTTGAAAGCCACTATACCGAATTTCAAGGAACATGACTTGCCGATCAAAGTTTCATTCAAATAGGAATCCGTGGCCACATTTATCTCCTCGATGTTTGCTATTCTTATGTAAATCACTTCACAAAAACTACCGCAGTTCACTATGCACCGCATTTTATTTACATAACTGCGTTCGAACTTTCACTGACTGTTTTCGGGTATCATGCCGTTTATATTATTTGTGCAATTAAAACAGATGTAATGCGTGGGCAAACTTTACAATTGACGGAAACACCTCGGTATGAACACGGACCATGTTGCTTAAAATAGCGGAAACAATCGTGGACTTGTATTCCGAATTTCACATGAGTTTTGTTAGTCGGTTCTCAAAGAGATTGCCTCACAACGTGTTCGTTTTGTGGGGGAACAGTATTCGTTGATCATGCGTTGATGATAGGCACTGCATCGTCAAACGTCCACAAGTATCTGGATGTAAGGACTCGTTTGTGTGAAAAGAACTGCTGGATCGGTCACGACATCGTAAGTGAGGTTACATTGTGGTGTGATAGTAACCATGCGCACATCACAGGAACTACACAGACAGGCAGCTGCACTGTCAGATTGCGAGGGGCGCTGTCATCTGGGTACCCAATGTCAGCCAATATGTTATCACTGGTAAGCTGTATTCCAATAAATCTGTAGCCCTAGAGTGTGCATTCCCATCACATCGCCACTAGTAAGGTTGAAAGAGAAGCGCAAGATCTGGTAGCCCAAAAGCTTCCACCTACATTTTTATGTCGACATAATACTACCTCCTGAGTTAATTTATAAAGACAGAATTCAGGCTTTGTCCAATCAAAAACTGGACTACCAACCGACTGGAATAATAAAGCATTAAGCACGCCACCCGTCAGAATTGCCTACACCTACACATAAAGACATTCTGCTGTTGAGTGGAAATCAGCTATGGCTAAAGATATTAAATTAGATTAAATATCGGATGACCTGTCATTTGCTAAACGGAAAACAACACGGAGAATACAGCATGACATTCTGTAGCGGTGAATATCTTCATTCTTCCCTTGACTTTAGTATCATAAAAACCATCCCCTGAACACAAATAAATGGGTTAAATTTACACAGTTTGTTGGCAAGGTTTGGCCCAACACTGTCAGATAACGTGGTCGTCATGTACAGCTGGGAGTTACTATCACAGTTAGCGGATTCGGAACGACCAATGACGTATACTTAGGCGAACTCAGTGAGCATAACCCATTGGAGGGCCAAGCAGGGAAACTTAAATCATGCGTAGAACAAACACAATAATCAGCTATTTCTGAATCACCGTAAGCGCCACTCTCAGAACTGTTGTGTTATGTTGACCCACAGTGCGCAAGAGCTAACCTGCTGACTAGATGATCGAGTACAGCCTAATTAACACGGATGAGAGCTGGTATCGCACATCAGAGTGACAGTCAATCTCTTATGCAGGCAGCCGCCTCACCTAACCAGTGAGGTATGAGGCGTTAGATTGCTCATCTAGAAACCTGGTGGTGCTTAAAGTGGTTAATTATTTGCTTACCGTTCAAGAATAAGCTAACCTGATACATAGTAATACGTTTACACATCCGTTTGAGTTTGAAGCTGTCCACCCCAAAACGCTCTTTTGGTTATCTTCACGACCGAAAACTTACTGAACTTACCTAAATTCTCATTAGCACAAAGGTCAAAATAAGTAAAACGGATTTTTCACTCTTGGTGTGACTGCCAATATTGTATCATCAAACAGGGCCTCTCCCATCCTGTTTTGATAGAAGATTCAACGGTAACTAAGTTCCCGGGAATTTCCGACCGAATGCCCACATTACCCGATCGCTTGATCTTACCTCTGTTTCAATCGACCGCCACTAAATTTGAATGCCAGTTTTACTAGAATGTCTTTTCTGGTGCAGAAAAATCCATATGTGTGAAAAATATTTGTTGGTTTCTGAAGGCCTTCGTGTTCTGGGATTCTAGCTAGACATAAGAATTCCTTTTTTAAGCGTTTCCGATAAGACACTCCTTTAGAAGTGTTGTATTGTGGGTGGCCGTCTATTAGTTACGCCTGCATTGAGCTTGCCAGGCTATGCGATAAGGAAAAGACAGAGAACTCGGGACACGGTTGTATTGTCAGGACAAAACGTACAGAGCTTCCGCATAAATATATAGGATGACTAAATGGCCAAATATGGTAGTTCACTTGTTCGTTCTGTATAGCCAGTGGCGATGTTCCGGTGGTGAACAATTTCAGCCCGCCTCTACTGGCCTTATGTTGCTAAGCCGTGTTTGGTGGGTTCCGCCAACGCACCTGCTATCCGAAACACGTCGTACCGATGCTGACCATAAGGATGCGTCACTCTCCACACGTACTTTTTTCATGTCTGGGCGCGTCCTGACAAGAAGGGAGAAGAGCGTTATTTGTCAGATTCGCTACTGATTTTTTGTGGGTTGACCATCGCCATCTACTTCTACGAACTATGATGGGAAATCTTAAACACCCAATATTCTTTTGTCGGCTCAGTTAAACGGTTAAGCTGGGATCCCATAGGACAGAGAATTTCAACTAATCAGTGAACCACCTTTATTCACAGCCCTTTGGAACTAAAGATATAGTTCCAACTTATAATCATCAGTTTCTATTAAAATGAACGCTTGTTAAGGTGGAGACCTCTGTTGTACCATGGCTGCAATGTATTTACCCTTCCTTAACATACGCTTGACTCAGTATGATCATTTGCGATCTGACTTGCTCTTGCCCCTTTTTTGTGTTGATTGGATTCCTTATAGTTGTGATTCCGTACTTTCTGTGATTTCAGAGCTATATGTGATCTTGCAAGCAAACTGCTGGCAATGTTGTTATTGTTCCAAATATGCGAAGGTTTCGCAGTAAGTTTTATGCGCACAGCTAACAAGAATTCACTTTATTTTCATTTGATTTCTTGGCAGACTGACCTTTCGTTATTTCGTGGAGCAGTTTTCGCCAGAGTGACTGACCTTACCCTGAAAAACATTCCCCATCGATTGATTACTAAACCCTCAAGGCTGCTATTTAGTTCAGCCTTTCGTTAGGACTGACACAAGTCTGAGTACAGGTGGATTCTTTCATAAATTCTTGATTAAGGTTAAACTTCTATGCCCAAAACATCTAATGAACACCAAGCAGCTACTATTTCTTGACACGGAACGGCTCATTTTGGAGGTGTTGCGTGAGAACCCAACACTCCGGGTAACAACAACAAACTAGGATATTTTGATTTCTTCCACGTTTCATTCCAACATTTTAGTTACCGCGATTTTCCTCCCATTTTAGGGTGTTTCAGAGGCTGTTTTACTAGCATGTGGTCGACAAAGCCTTGGGGCCGTGATAATTTTTGTGGGATACTACTGCATCGGAATGCCGCTGGCTTTTCTGTTTGCCTTCGCTGCAAATCGCGGAATCATAGGTGAGTGACAGGTTTTTGCAAATGAGCTTTGTAAGAACAACTCCAAAAGGTGTGCATTTGGTTTGAGGTGAGTTTTTCTGTCCTATTGGAAACATCATATCCAGGAAAACTTCTTTGATATGTTGTATTTATTTGCAAACTCAAACCTGATCTTGGATTTGAGTCCACTGGGTCCAAGTTTTTCCTACCCAGAAAGTCATCTTTATTTTAGTGCAGTTCTTTTTAGCATACGAAAGAGTGAATAAAAAAAACGCGTGTTTTTCTCAGAGAATTGCTTGCTTTATGAATAAAGGTTAGGAGTCATAACTGAAATTTCAACTGGCGGAAAGTAAAACTTGTTCCCTCTTCGTTTCTCACACGAAATCGGTCGGACATTTTTATGATATTCTAACACACGAGCGAAAATCACAACAAGCTATTTACCAACCGGATTTCTCATGGATGAATATAGCTTACTGGCTTTTCCCTAGTGATCCGACTGGAAATATTCACGAGCAGAAGAAGGCTTCAACGTGCTAATTGAATTTAAAGGTTCGGATTTTCTGCTTTAAAGAAGATAAGAAACTCCTGAAGATAGGACACCTCCAGAAAGTGTGCAGCCTATACACCAGATTTCGAAATGTATCATACGGAAAATTACCTGATGTTATACAATGATATAGAGGCTTCAGTGGAAGTTTTGTGTCGCACGTAAGAATCCGTCCAATCCAAAAAGCATAGTCTCACTATACAGCTATTTCATCCAGCAGCGCTCATCTCAAGAATCTCGGGGACACTTTGAATCCGTAACCCTCTTACTAGTAGATAAATATTAAGCCGTTTGGCCATAAACAGCTGATCCACCGTTAGACAGGATATAGGGCTATCAATGCTTCATTGATGAAATTCATATCATGTGGTTATCGTCTGACTCCTGGAGCGATGTTACCTCGGACAAATGTTTCACTCGTCACCTGATTCATCCTCCCTTCTGAGCTACTTTCAGTTTGTTGACAGTATAAGGGAATTGGGAAAGCTAGCGCTTCCATTAACAGATCACCAAGAAACGTAGATTAATGTCAGGTCATAGTCAAAGATTCGGCAATGCTGGGGCATGCACCAGGCTAGATTTGGAAAATGTGGACATTCTGAGATGCGCCTAGGATTCACACCACAGCGACTGATGACCGAGGCAGACGCCAAGCATTCCGGCGTGAATAGGATAGAGAATGTAGAAGTGGTAAGTGTGTGGTGAATGGTCTCAGATCAGCCGAGATGACACGAGGCGGTGTGCAGTTATCAACAAAATGCTCTGGGTCTAAAAGTACAAAACAAAAGCAGAGTAAGATCCGATGAACCACCGCCACATTAAAACCCGGCACCCTTCGACGAACATGGGTAAACAAAATCTGTGAACGACCGCAAGAGGAATATTCCATTAAGGTGTCCTAGACAGAAAGAGCGAAACCGTGAAATCCGGGTTCAACATGAAGACAACTTCTCTTTAAACAATCTATCGTAAATGTTGGTCATCGCCACTAATTAACAAACAGGGACATCAGGCTGACATCCAGCAGTGATCAAGTCGACCAGTCATTGAAAATCTCCCGGATAGGTTCTCTGACTGCCTTAAAACCCAACCAACTTGCCTAATTACTCACTTGGCCTGACGAAGTGGTTGTGTCGAAAGCGAAACGTAACGTAACCTCCAGGCTGAAAGCGGCTTTTCTTGTCTACAGTCACATTCATTACCTTCGCAATATATACTTACCAATATCATACACCAATGGTTAACATGCAAATGACAAAAAATTTTGGGGAGGCATAGTTGTCACCACGTGGATAAACGAAGAAAAAGATGGCCACACGTCAATTTTTCAGAATTCCATTCACCTACAAACGATTATGGACCGATAATAGGCGGTATGATTCAGATAAGTGAAGTTTCAAGGTATTTGTAATTTGGCATAATCCTTGCAACATGCTGTACCCGAGATAAAGCTCTTAAAATGGTCGTCATTAGAAGAATTGCATTTTTGACTAATTAAAGCGGACGGTTCCTCAGTTTTCATAGACTTCTTCCAAGGTGGTGCTAAAGCAGTTGAGAGCCGGGCAGGGATTAAGTTTGAAGGATGTCCATATGCCGAAGAGTGGACAGCATCAGGATTGTGCACAGATCTAAAAGAGTGACAACAAGATATGATAAATGGGATATTGTTTACGACGTGGGTCCCACAACACTGGAAAATATACCACATTAGATAGATGAGAACATTCACTAGAAGCCGGATGGTAGCGTGAATACGCCGCCGATTTTTAGAATTAGAAATGTGATTTATGTATCCTGTTCACGGTTGGAATCACTACCCCCAGATGGCTTTCAGCCGGTACAAAATTTTGTTATCAGAATGCGTAGTCAAATGATTCTCGCAAAAAGCGAGTGATTTTCAGGATTCATATGGTGCTATAACTTCGGCTGTACAAATATTTTACGTATGGCTTTTCAACTGACAGCTTTTCGAGTCCATGGACTAATATAATGTGTCAGGCACCTTCTACATTTATCTTCCCATCAGTCAAAGTACGACTTTCAAAATCCAGATGACCCTACCTAAGACTGATTGATCGCCCATACACTGAAACTGTACAGCTTAAATATTCGTAGGAATATCACCCGACATATGAAATACTGATAAGTCCAGCACAAGTTGAGCAGGTAATATGGTAGGCGACCTTGAAATGTGTGATGCTCAGCGGTGGACTCATTTTTGCTGTGCATTTCAAATCGTCTCTGGCCTGGTACGAGCAACTTTTGTTGAAGAAATATATGTTGAAGGTGCGACGCTCGACAACTATTAAGTCTAGCAAGTATATGGCTTGATAAAGAATGTGTATTATGGCACAAAGACGGCAAATGATGTCAAATTAATTTCTGCCGAGCCAAGTAAAAGCAACGCGGTTTTTACTAGGATCTTGGGGACTAATCAGGATACTGCTGTGAAAAATACTGAGGTGTCTCATGGGTAAGGTAGTTGAGAACGGCTGCGTGTAAGAAGTTGACGATTTCATTGACGCCATGTGATCTCCCACACTCAGAATGGATGTTAAGCGGTTTCGCATTTCCCGTTGATTACATTCACTTGGATGTTGAAGGTTCCGAGTTTGGATATAATCCGCGTGCGGAAAAGGTCAACACAAGCAAAGGATAATATCATTTAGAGGCGCGAATTAGAAGACATGATACTCAGTGTGGAAAAAACTCGATTCTCGGTTGCATGTCACTACGTGCCATGAAGCGGAGAGTTAAGCGGTAACGGGAAACATGACAACTCTGTCATGGTTTAGCTGGAATTTTTGTAAGAGTAAAGTCGTTCGATAATAATATACAAAAAAAACACAAGAAAGATTCGTGCGTGAAGCCACTGTGTAGTCAAATGCTTGCTGTCATTTTTGGTAGTTGATAAAAAAGGAAATGAATTTTCACGATGATGGCATTCCCTCACACGGTATCTTATTCGGAAGAACATGTGTATTGCATAGAACAATCTTTGTTGCTCTGTTGGTTGGTCCAAAGACTTGACTTATGAAAAGATGAGGAAAAGAAACTAGGAGATTTGTCGTATCTTTCACAAAGCATTTGAAGTATTTGAAGGCCATAAACACTAAGGACCGGCAAAGCAAAATAAGACATTTGGCAAGTTGAACAGAAAGCACATATATAGTATGCCTTAGTAAACAAAGATGAAAATTTTAAGCTTACTAGCCAGTTTGGTTCCGGACTTGGTCTTGCCATAGTGGCGTATTTAACTTCCATGACATATCTGATGTTGGTGGGCCCCTTAAGTTTCATCACAAAGTTCCGCGTGCATTCATCTATCGTCAGAGCTTTTTTTGCTTGTTCTCTAGTTTTCAGACAGTGATTATGACGAATACTGGCAAGTAGAATGGTTACGTTGGTTGTTAGTCTGTTCATTAACGTTGGTCCTTTGTTTGAAAATGTTTCGTTTCTATTCGAAAAAAAACAATAATAATATGCGCTATCAGCTATGCATTGAATGGATGTGCATTAGTAGTTTAGAGCAGACATTTGGATGAATTAACCATTTTCTTTAGCCTGTCGTTGAATTTACAAATGTACCTGGGTTAAGAGGAATCCATGGACATAATTATTCATTAGGAACGCGGGATAGGAAAGCGTAACACAGGGCCAAGAAGAATGGATTAATAAATTCACGTTACTGAGAACGTTCGATAGCTCGGTTTCCGTCTGGTGGTACGTTGCATTCTCACCGTTGTGGTTAGGTTGGTGAAAACGCTACATATGTACAGAGCGTTTTCGGATTCAAAGCTCCGGATAGTGCATACGGATGACAGCACCAACTTGATGCCCTTAAACGGACGTCATAGATCACTTTAACAGCATCAGTGGTATTCATTTGGAGAGTCAAAATCGGACCTCTTATGTATTGCTCAAGATCCTTCGACCATCGATACGGAATGCGTTTACACGTTTGCTAAGACAACAGTCTCATCATTTGACTTCCGTAAACATCTTGCGCAGGAACTGGCAAACTACCATACACACCGAAATCGTTTGGTGAGGCAGCCGCTCTTTCATCTTTCATTTGATCACAACGCAACCGATGAAAGTTGTGCACAAGTTAACCGCATAAAAGGTGCGGTTTCTACGGAAGACGTAGATTGATAGGCATTAGTGGTCGCATTGTGATTACGCTCCGTGTCGTACTTAGTTACATATTTCTTTCCAAGAACCTATCAGATCAACCATTGTCACGAATGGTATTTAAGAGTAATCTGTTCTTCTTGCAGCGATCCTTTTGTGCCCATTTTCGGTATTCTTTTGAAAAAAACATTCCACTAGATTTCTCTTCATCCTAATAGAAATGGACCTCCAGAACTGATAATACCGGCCCACCAAAGTTGACTACCTGTAGGTCTTACCATTCCACCTGCATGACGGGTCAGCAGTGTAACTAAAATCCCGCCAAGTCTCACAATTAAATGGAATAGAGTAAGTCGACTTTTTTCAGCTCTTCAAAAAACAAACACAAGAGAAGTTTCCAAACCATCCACTTATCTTGCACAATGCTTCAATCAAGATATCACAATGTTAACTGCAATAAACCCAAATTGAGTCATAAAAGTCTCAACTAGAAGTGAGCCCCAGACTTACCTCGAGTAGTAAAAACACGTTTGAACAGGCCGCCAGTCCTATTAAACGAGCTCACAAAAAGTCTGGTGATCCTAATGTAAGAGGGGCGAAGGTATATCTAAATGACTTGTGGCCGTAATTGCACTATATGCTTTATAAGGCTCATGGACTTTAGCGGAATGCGAAAGTCCTTCAGCTAACTGAAGACGCCACAGTGTACTGGTAACGACAAAAAGAATGCGACGCTGAATAGGCTGTGATTCATTCCACAGAATATTTTGAGGAAAACCCATCAGCTCTTATTGTAAGTTGGCCTCATTACTGCGAGTCATTATACGTTCCCCTGTGCGTGTTCACCCCACAACTCGGCTTTCTGAATGGTTTTCCGACAAACGGTCTCCTTATATTGCGGGAGAGGAATTTCACTCGAGGAAAATATAGTTTGAGCTTCTACGAGGTGCAAAGTGTGTTTGGTGGTTCCGTTAAAAAAACGGAGGCAATCAGACCAATAATAATTTCTACGCAGATCTTATTGAATAATTAGTTAATGTAACAGATGTCAGCAGATTTCCATGAGCGCAGTCTGCTCCTAGGGCTCGCTTATCAATACGAGTATGAGAAAACACTCTCTCTTAGGGCATTCAGTTCTCAAACTTCCTTCGTAATAGCATGTACGCTCACCCGGCTCACCACCTAATTTCGGTGCCAAATCGAAACTGATTAGACGCTACTTTTCACTGACTACTGCTGAGTATAAAGAAGTCTTATATCCACCACCAGTATTCGTAAACATACAGCAAATTGACTAATGGGAACACAAAATGGAGATAAACTGTATGAAACTTGATAAACATGAGTTCTTCAACCTAACTCGATTAGATCTGTTGGTGGATGAAAGTGTTGGTGTCACTTTGATGACCATTTGGGACAAGGCATTCCATGCAATATCTTCAGAAACCAAATTTCGGATCGGTGTCACATAAAGCCGGTAGACCATACTATTTAGAGCTGTTACAACATTGTGTTTATTATCGATCCGCTCGAGGGACTTTGCAGCCAGTTTGCCAAAACTTGTCATTTCGGCCACTATTGGTCACACTGACATCACACAAGTGAGCCCTAAAACGCGCACTCGGTTTTCCACTTCAGGCGCATGGACTGGCCTACTGACGGGTTTTGCAATAACAACTATTGCTTACAGTGTGTTTGCACATAAAACAAACTGGATAGCTGAGGCACGCAAGGTGAGTTTCTATCATGCGTCTGACAACCTGCCCCAGTGCACACACGGTACCTACTGACCTGCTGAAACCTTCTTAATTGCAGGCACGACGAAATACCTGTGACCAGCAAGACACTCATGAATTGGCCATACACGAAGAACTGGTGAGCAGTTCAGTGTCCATGGATTCTTCTAGTGAGTTATGAGATACTTTTCTTCTACGCCACCGCTGCGTTAAATGCGGAGCTTCGTTCCTTCATTTCCATAAAAGGAAAATCAAACGGCGACTGGTTGGCTACCAGATGTCAGCTGCAACTTACAAATATGTTAACAAACAACTCCAAATGATGGAACGCAGTCAATCCCACTTAAAAGAAGGGTCGATGAACCCTTTAAGTAACGAATACCCCCACAGAATTAGCACAATGTCCGCCGTTAGGAAGGTACTTCAACAGCACTCCTAACAATTTGTGACATTGGTTTTATTTAACACTCACTTATTGCGACATTTTTAGCAAGGAAAAGCAACTCGACCAACAACGTTTGGCTGTTATTCTCTCACTGATCACTCAAGTTTTGTCAGATGTTCTGTGTAGTTTAATTTGCACCCCTCAAGTGACTCACTCATGAGCACAGCCACAGTGCTTACAGGAAGATGATGGAATAAATATGACCTCTTCGAAGACACACAGTGAAACACATTTCTGCCATGAGCAGTCCATAAGTTGAAGCTTGGTTTTGTAGCTTCTAGAGAATACCAACCAACAAAATGTCTCGCATTGCACGACTATCGAAGAGTCTGCGATTTAGCAGCGTGACAAATGGTTTCACGGTGCGGTTTTCTAAGATCCATTGAGCTGTCTCCGAACCCTGAAGCCTAAGTTATCTCTGTCGCACCAATGTGTATTAAATACAATTCATATGTGCACCAATTCTACAAATTTTAATGCACCGATCTTCATTTGGTTCACTTGTAGCAATGACATACCAAATCCAGTATACTGGTTAACCTAAGCATTTCTCAGGTTGGGTAGAGAATCAATTTTCCAGTGGTGGTAATTACTAAAGGTAATATAACTTGCATGACGGCGTACATTGCTGGTGAAGTCTGCGAGTAGCAGCTAATCGACAGGCGAGTCGGACATTGTTCTGTTTATTTATCGATATCAAGTGTTCAAAAGACGTCCAAGAAAGTCCAAGATCTTATCATAATTTGCGCAACTTTTGCCTACTTCTTTGCGCTCGACGTTTGAAGTCAATGTGGGACTTGCGTCGTAAAGCTGGGCAGTGAGAGGCAAAGACCTTTACCATTTATTTGTTGCTGACGATGCAATAAGTGTGTGCCTTTGGACGGAAGGTAAATTTAGCTCGATGCTCATAGAATCTAATTGGCATTCATATATCTCAGCTTTTTATATCAGGGAACCCAACGAATGGGACCGAAATATGTCGAAGTATCTAAAGCGGACTGGATAAACCCGACATAAAGGACCGAATACTCACTATTTGATCAAACTCGTTAGGGTACACGTAGGAAGCCCGGACGTATGATAACCTGTTTGATTATGAGCGAGTCGCTTGTGCTAGATCATTTGTACACAAATATTCGAAGTTTCCGTCATTACTGATCGAAAATCCTTCATTGAGGGCCAAGTTCGAGGTTGCTTGATTAACTTTCAAAAAATATAACCGTGGTTGTAAACTTCAGTAAGAGTTAGCCAACTGGTAAAATGGAAGTTTCAGCTGAAGAACGCAAAGGTGATTACAATCATTTGAGGAGTGAATCAAGTAACTATGGGATTGAAATTTAGGAATCGTCACACACCTTTTGGCCTTTTGTTCCTATTCTACGGTGAGTTGGCATGTGCGATACAACAAAACGCATGAACTTGCTAGTTTAGTGGTTGACAGAGTTAGAAAACTCGAACTTCCTGCATTTTGTTTAATGGAAAGTTTCCTGTGCTCTCAACAATAAGTCATTTTCCTCCTATTTATATCTTGTAGCAAATTTATCGAAGTGATTATATTTTGATGAGTGTCACTGAATTCAAATCCGATTCTTGGTTGCTAGGTTACTTCCAGGAAGAACTGATTGCACAACATCACGCCGAACTGAAAACTGACTTGTGCACGTGATGCCTATGGATTGTACTTGTTATTCATATAGTTCACAACTGGTTCAACCGGCTTGACTGATACCCAACTGGCTAAACAGAGGTAGTGGAACATTGAGGAGTTGTGGTGGTAGTCATTCGGTTATAACCACTGAGTGAAGGGTTAATAATCACCAAATGAATTATGTATCGGTCCAAGCTAAACCAACACTGAGCTGTAAAGCACACTGTGCTTCACGTGCAGCTGGAAGTTGCTAATCGGAGTTCGGCCAAATAATTTGTGTTAGTCTGCCGCAGTGAAAAAGTGCCAAGAAAAAAACGCTGTGGATCCTTACCGGATTAATATTACTTCCTGTGAATGACACTACACAAAATCTGATTCCTACGACACGAGAATGTGGTCTGATAAGTGAGAAGTCTCTCTTGGGAAGAGTGCTTTGTTCAAATTACGATAACATCAGGCGAAACTTACGAGGAGATCCACTGTGTAAACAGTTTCTCTTGAGTCATTTGGTAGAAATTCCTATCTTGGGAATTCCTCATGCTGACTACCCATTTTAGCCGAAGGAAAGCCTATTCTGCTTATGACACAAAACTGTTAACCCTATGGCTGTAAACATGCGTTCTTCGAACAGCCTGAAGTGATTTTCTACGTGAGCTAACGGGTTTAATTATCATCTTCGTAGTTGTCTAAACAAACTACATACATTTGCCTTGACCTATTTCAGTTTCGGTGATCCATTCTATTGGGCATAAACAAAACCGATATTCAAGATACGTATTCTATATTTCACTACCTTCTTTCAGGTTTCGAACCGTTGATTGAGCACCAGCTGCCTAATGGGGATTGTGGAGGACCCGTGGATGTGGAATCGGATGAATTACGTACAAATCCTTTTGAGTTCGCTACTTTCATAGACCCAGAAAAGGCCAGTCCTGCAATTTCCCTGAAGAAAATATCAGTAGCATGTGTGGTTGTTAGCGTTTGGATCGCAGCTTTATGTATATTTTGGAATCGGCCGGAGCCTCTTTGGTACACCACCTGCCTCAAAAATTCCGTCAATCGAACGATTGGCGAGTATACCTTTTGCGACCGAATGTTGTCCGAATCAAGGTTCCGTGTGTTTAGTAACCCATTAGCGGGACCTTCAGGTGTCCCCGAAGCGACCGTTGAACAGAACAGAACTTCCACAGTGTAAGTCAATCTCCCAGTGGACGATGGAATTCCATCAATAATTCCGGTAGATCACGGCTTTTCGCCTGCACTCCGGAATTCCTACGCAACTTATCGTATATTTCATCGCAACTTTATACCAGATCGGACTTTTTTTAAACAGTCTGGTTGTTTGACCATCCCGGGTGAGTCCCGTCCCCAACCAACAAAGCCAAGTAGCACGCCTGATTTTTAACCAAAACGGTTCAGAATACCACCGATTTTCAACTGCACCAGCTATCAAGAAAAATACTTTTCTGATGAGATTGTAGAAACGAAAACTTATTTGAAATATACGGTTTTTGACTTGTATTGTTTACTGTTTTGGTGGTCACATACTCGCAGTTTTGTCCGGAAGATGGACAGAGTCCTTTGGGTCTGGACTACACTGACTTGGCCGAATGTCTGTGCGCAAAATCCATGAAGAGAAATAGTCATAATTCTATAACATGGGAGTTAAATGTGCACACCTTTATGCATTCTCCACTACAGTAACTATACGCGAAGCTGCAGTATATGAGTATTTTGCTTTTCTTAGTTGCGGTGAGTGGCTTCTACTTCGGAAAGCTATACGCACACAAAATCCTGTATCAGGACTGACGAGAATCTTTTGTGACGGCTGAAAGCGACAGTCGCTTCCAGTTTGCTTGCTACTCTGAGATTCATGATGGACTGATGCTAGCAAACTTAGTCTTCTCTAGGGTCCGAATAATAATAAAGAATGCCACGAAATTGTCTGTTTCTTCTTCGCTCGCGGTCTTGCTGACAATATTAATCTTGGCTAGTTACCTTGCAATCTCTTCAGGCCTTTGATTCAACTTAGGTGCAGGCCGCTATGCGTAGCAAACATTGGCCATCGGTATTCCTGCCCGCTCAGCGGTCGAAACAAGGACACCGCACACCATCTTTCATTTTACCATTAGAGCCTAGCACTTAAGTAGCCAACTTGTTTTTTGAAGTTGTGATGACCGAACAGTGGAGGATGGTTAAATGTGGACGGCAACATGAATCTAGGGACAAACTATTGGCTCTACAGAAGTACAGCCCTACTGCGCGAAATTCGTCCGCAAGTATCAGTATGCGACGATACCTCCAGGGTAGGGTTTTGCGGTATTGGTAACAAAGAAAGAATGGTAGGGATCCAGCTACCATATCGCTAATCAGTTCAGAGGGATGAGCAAGCAGGTGGACCCGAAAGATGCTTTTTCACTTGCAGAGGCCTTACCCACGAGGTATCAAAGTATACACCCACGCCATCCGACAGGGTGGAGAGCTAAGAGGACTTGTTTTAGGGTTTGACCCGACAGGACGTAGGGTATCCTGTAATTGTTCAAATAAACTGATTATATTATGCTCGTGCTCACCGAAAAACGATCGCTGGCCGTTGAGATTACAAATGCCGACACAACAGCACGACAGAATTTGTCAGGAACAAATACACATAACGAGTATTCCAAGGGGCGGAATTCAAAGGTCACCACAATCGCATTGATTTTGAGCCTCCGAACCTAACCACTATCGTTTTTTCGTTGACGTTCTATCTCAGAGTCCCCTTCCTAGCTCGTGTCATCTCACTTCCCCATCATTTTGCTTAGCTGAGATTTTCAGGTGTGTTTGCCTCTGGAACCAAGATTTGACAACAAGTCTAGTCTTTTGTAGGTGACGCTCATGGCTCTTAATACCATCCGAAATTTGTCATTCTATTTCAATTCTACCTTTTTATATCCAACCAAATGTTTTGCTCCTTTTTTCCGTAACCATGAAGCCACAAGTCTCTGTGTGGTGATCTTTGCCACTTAACATCGGCATGTTTTCAAGCGTCTCTGTTGTTGGTCTGTTCGCCATGCTTGGCGGTTGAATTGCAAACGTTCCATCACCAATGGAAGTCACATTTTCAAAGCCTTTGAGTAGGTGAATTGCTTGTCTTCCCCTTTGTAGTCTTTCTAACGTCTTTGTTGGGAAACGTAAGGTGCGTTGCGTCAACTCGTTGTGCATTCAGGTATAGTTTTTCTACAGGGACCTCCATGTGTGAATCCTCTTTTATCTCAGATAATTTCCATGCAATGGCAGTAAAAAGTGTATATTTAAAAGACTTTAGATGGTGTGCATGGGGCCACATATTCACCAAATCTGTTCTCTTTTATGTTTTGACGATCAGCTTCAGTTCGATCGATGTATCAAAATGTATACAAAATAATACAAAATCAGTTCTAATTTACCCAAAGTTTTAAGGTCTCCTACAGTGAGACCAAGCCGACGTGGACAAGAAGTTATTCACTCCTTTTGGTCTTCTTCCGATTTGCTGAACAATGGATGGAGGGTTGTATAACGTTGAATAGGGCCCCGGATAAACAGACGAAAATGTACCATTGGACAGTACTCAAACCTGAAATGGCTCAGGTAACGAAGATTTCTTCATTGCGCCAGAGAAGTTGGATGATATGTATTTGGTTCGTTATCTCTTGTCGTCCGAAACATACTGAGTGAGGATAGATAAAAAATCCCTAATTTAGGTAACTTCCTGAATCACCATTACCCTAGGAGTCCGTGGCTTGTAATTTGCACCCATCCATGCAGAAAAGGAATGTGACTGCAACTGTTCGGCACATGCATATGTATACACTCACTACTGAAGTCCCAGTGCTCATTGTTTTCAAGCAGACACCCTGTGTTTTCTGTGCTAAGCGAATTTCGTAAGTATAGGCTGAAACTGCATCTTGAAAGTTAGAAATCACGTGGAATAGAAATTTTGTGGAGGAAATACTGGATGGTAGAGCTCTATGGGAAAATCGTGGAAACTGATGAAGATTTATGAGAATTCTGAAATTTTTTGGTCACTCAAATACAGTAGAAGAGACCTTCATTTTCGGTTCCTCCAGTAGAATAAAGCTAACTACGTCGGTTACTACTTGCCGCCCATCACTGGAACATACTATCCAACTCAATCTATGTCGATGAAAAGAAGTTGCCTATTATCCCGACAGATGACATAATGGGTTCTAATCTGCTAGCACTCATGAATATTTATCACTACAACATAAAGTGGATCGGTCTTTAAATTTGAATAGGTTTATTCACATTCAAACTTAGATATAAAAGAACTAAAAGTGAGGAAGCATGCTTAACAGCCAACATCCAGTTGAACTGTTAAACAGCTGTTTTGACTATCCTTGTGAGGACGATAAGTCAAAAACTGACGCGTGTGGTTAGAGCATTTTCTGGTTCTAGTTCTATCGTACTGTGACTGAACGCTTCATATAGAATTGTGCCGTTGAGTTGATAGAGGTCCCAACTGCAGCCTGTTGATGTCATCGACGGGTCCATATGCATTGTGTTCTTGTAATTCATGTTCATTCAGACATGCTGTAAACATGGTTAAACGGATACGCTGGAAAGTAACAAAGTAACTGTGACTGTTACTACATGGCCAAGGGAAGTAGATTGGAATCCTCGCTTTTCAGGGTTGAAACAGTCTAAAGGAACAAGTTGAAGTCAGGGAAATTTCGTCTTTATTCTCAAGCGATAGCAACAGAAAATGCAAGAAGCATTCACTAATGTGCTGTGCTCAACTCACCACCCTGTTCGCCTTCACAATCCGTTTTGTAGGTCCAAGGAATGCAAGCGAAGATAGTAGAGCAAGTTAATAGAAGTGAATATATTTTTGACATAAAATTGAGTGGCAAACGGAATTTATGAGTATAATCACTATGAGAATGAATTTTCAAAGAAAATTGTGTGAAGCATTACAACGGGAAATAATTCTTGTCCGTTTCACACTTGCTAGTTTAAGGTTTCTGTGTGTAAAGACGGAGCACTTTCCGAAATTCAGGGCCGGCTAGATACAACAGACCTAATGCAGCGTATCCATACACACCAAAGCCAAAGAAGATCATGGAGTCAATGAAAGTGTATGAAAACATGTCCGAGGGTCAATTAACCGAGATCACAACTAATAAATAGCGAATTTCTCAGCTAAAAACGACACCAGTTTGATTTCGTTTATTTTGTTGTGCCACAGTGCACATTACTGGTTCGGTGACCAGTAGCGTCTGTGGGTTTTTTGAGTTCGATGGGTAGAGTTGGCTCATTACTTTATTCACTGAGCCATTCCATACTACAGCAATGATGACACCTCTCCGAAGTAAGCTTTTCAAATTTTAAGAGAGACGCAACAGAATTTATTCAGTATATGGAGGAAACCTCACCTCGTTCGCCATATTTGTGCATTAGTTACTGTCAGGCTTGGCGGAAACTGAGGGGTAGGCAGGTGATGAAAACGAGGGTCTTACCATGTCACATTATTCTCAGAGAACGTCAAGAGATATGCGACGAAGTATCGTGGTCAGGTAATCTGGTTAACTAGTCTGAGAAGACTTTCTGTGGGTGACTGCATGGGCATAATAATGAACTTGTGCCTGCAACAGGTTTATCAACCCGGCTATCCCAGCACGCAACACTTAATCCAAGAGGTTAGCATTGCGTATGCCATCCAAGTAGGTAAAACAATTGATAGACAATTTTTCTCGATTGTATCGCATCTCACCGGTTGTTTGTGTAACGGGTGCGATGAATTAAATGCTACTTAATCTGTGGTAAGTAGTTGGACAACGGTGTCAAAACCGCTAGTACCGAATGCTGTAGTCCTCACCACGGGAAGAAAGCTTGCACTCCATGATGCTTTCAAATTGTGAAGAAGACCGGATCTTGAAACTATCACTGATTGACGACAAATTCTGTCAGACTATTGGGATTTCAAAAAATCTCCAAGTGGTCTTTCTTACGATAGATGGTCCATTTTGCTGAATCTTTCCCCTATCACTCTTGATAAAAACAACAATGGCCGGAACTACAATTAGGACACATCACATACAGTCATACACTAGCCTAAACCGCACGCCATTCACTCGATTGTTTGTACCGTTGCCCAAATTACAAACATTCGCACTATTATTTTACAGGCTATATAATCACCTAATAGCCTCTTAGATAGCCTTGGAGTTTGAAAGCAGTCATTGATGACGAACGAGTGGTAGTGAACTGCACTGTCCATAAATCTGTCGATTTGGTCGTGTGCATTAGGCGATTAAAACAAATGGACCGGTTGCGTTCCGCCTCTTCAATCGTTGCGTAGCTGTTGAAAGTTGACGTGAGTCGCAGATGATATTTCATTTGATGTGCATTATCAAACTTTCGCAAATGTTCACAGCTGATAGTTTACTGCAATAATTTTCTAATGAGGAAGTTGATAGCAACCTTTCCAAATGGCTTTTCCGTGCTTGCACGTCAAAAATACATCAATGGCACCTGCTGCTTGTTGACTGTTCAATGAG